CCGATCCACGAAAGTCAACGGATTTCGATCTGCTTCTGAATTATCTGGGATATGTGAGTGCTGAGCTTAATGCTGCATAAAGAAATAATAGTTACTAAAGATTAATATTGTATTAAACGATTATCATTTGAAATGTAAACGATACTGTAATAAAAGTTTATCATAAACGATAATCGGTATTTGAATAAGCTGAACTTTTCAGTTAACTCAAAGAAAGGTTTCGAACTAAAAACAACATAACCAAAATATTACTGATATTGAATTGTCAGTAAGAAACCGTTAATTAAATTTTACTTCAACAAAATAAGGCAAAGTAAAACTGTTTGTAAAATACTCTTTTATCAACAGTCTGGTGTTGTGAATTCTTTGGTTGAGCAAGCCTCAACAAGGGTAGGACATAAACGTAGGTGACCATTTCGTGCAAAATTGATCACTACTGTCTACTGTTATTACTGCGCCACACCTGCCCATTCCAGAATTACAGATTGCATCTTCCACCGTTCCCCTGTACTGCTGCCGTCACCCGGCTGGAGTTTGACGCTGTGGCTGAACATGGCGCTTATGTACCGCGCCAGATTTAACCGCATGTACTGCACTAACGTCATACTCCAGGCGGCTGACGGCAGCAGTACAGGGGAACGGTGGAACACGTTTACTTTCGACCCTTATATTACATCCATTTACTGCGGCGCTTTAGTATTTATATAAGAATACGGCTTACGATAAAGAGGAGAGAAATTGTTTAAGAGATGTGGAGTTAAAGGTATTTACAATTCTTCTGTGGACTACGATAGGAACTCGACGAGTGTTTCTGGGACGACGTGGCCAGTTACTGGCGAGAATCCGACGAGGATGTGCAAAATCCCCGCCGTCAGCACATATGTTTCGGTTATATCGGCACATACCTATCCCTGTTTGCAACGGCGACACTTATACTGGTATTCTGTTGCTACCTTGTTGCCAATCGTCATTGGCGCTTACCTGTGTCCGAATCATTCCACGTACCACTCTGCTCAACATTTAGCCGCTTCGTTCCTTATGTCTATGGCTGTTCGCCGTACGTTACGAATGCCGAAGATGAGCGTGAAGAAGGCTGGGATGTGGTAAACACCGTTGACGCCGTGGAGATCGTCTCATCCAGAGAACGGTTCGCAGCTCCTCAAACGGTCCAAAAGCCGGATTTTCACATTATCCCAGATAGATGGCGCAAATTGCTGTACCACGCACTGTTTTTTTATACGTTTGGGATGATAGCCTGCCTGTGCGTACTGCTTTAGGGAAGTGTTTTGACTACGCCGCTGGCATGGTTAGCCGGATTCGTCGCAAGAGCCATCGTCCTGCATTACGGGAAAGAAGCAATTTTTCCATGCAGCGTAATCTTTATTACCGGTCTCTCCATATACTGCTGCGGACGAATGGTGGGATTGTGGATGCGGGAAAGTTATACGTGTTTGATTTGGAAGAAAATCAGGTTAAAACAATAAATTTCGAGAGCGCGTAAAACATTCTCACTTTATAATTTGAACGAGGCCGGATTTGCGGTTAGTTAACAATAATCCAGTCACATTCCAGTGTATCTGTATTTTGGGTGACATAAGTCTGTACCCTTTCAATTACGTGTAACAAAATCGCTAATTTATGCAGTAGACTTTCGGTTACTACATCAGCGCGCAACGCGTAACACGTTTTCATGAAGTCGTTCGATTGCGTAGAATGCTGTGCGGATGCGATGCGCCTACACTAACAGTCGCTGAAACTTCCAGCGGCTGTGAAACGAAGGGATCGCGGGCTTATGAATTTCGAACCATGCAAGTTTGGGCTGGTATTTTATTGTACGGTACTTCTGTCTGCTTTATCAACTTGGTTCTGTTGGAAGAAGCCGTTCCTCAGCTTTCCGGTTATGTCTGGAACCCTCTTTCTGCTGCTGTCATATGCGCTTCCAATTCCTCGGAGCACTCTCAGGTAAAGCGATTCAAATAAAAGTTTTAAACGAGCGTAAGAAAAATTCAGTAAGGTATACGATCCGGGATGTAGTAAGATTTGGTGTACTTCCGCTTTCGCTTTTGCACACTTCTGAATAAATAGCTCAAGAAAAAGGCTTGCAACCTCAACATGGAAAGATAGAAGACAACGAATTAAAGTTCTACCAAGTTTACCAACCTTTTTCAAATTCAAAAACAATTTTGAATTTTTGAGAACCATTTTAAACTGTGTTGAAGTGTTACAGTGGTCGTTTGGTAGAAGTACCGCCCCTTATGCGCGTTTTCTTGGACCGATCAAAAATTATCGATCCATAATTCGACGTGGTGCACGTGTTTACCTTTACACTTTTTGGAATTTATGTCATCTGTAAATCTAAATTGTGCCCACAGATTCACGCCTCAGCATACAAATTATTTGGCAATCGAATGTAGTAAAACAGTAATAACAAAAGCCTTACAGTATGTACGTATTGAACAATACTACTGTAGCACAGAATAATCACATCCATCCATCCAACGTACACCGTACATACTGTATATTTTACAACTTGTAACCTCAATGGGCTTTTAGTTGCTTTGTATACGCAGGTGTTGAAGCCCAATGTGGCTGCGGTCTCGCACTGGGTGGATATGAGATATTGGCTGGAAAAATTTCCCGGCCTAACTGGTGTTGAAGACTTGTCATCCATCTCACCACCAGCGGGAGTGATTTTTTTGGTCTGCAGCGTAGCCATTGTCATCATGACGGAATTATCATCATGCATACTTTTCACGGTTGACCTTATTGGGGATAATATTCTCATGAATGATATGCCTGAGGAAAATACTGCGCAAACCGCGGAACAAGACGACGAGCCAGAATCGTCCGAGGAGTGGTAAGTGTGTCACATAATCACCTGCTTCCACATGCTTTCGCAGTTTCTGATATCGTACAAACACACTGTATGTATGTACGGATATGATATTATTAGAAACTGCGAAAGCAAAACATTTTTCCATTAACTGCACTATACAACGAAGCTGCACTTTTCTCCCCACGGCAACCTAATAAAACAAGTCGTACAGGTTTTCCGATGGAGAAGACAATTCGCTGCTGTTTTTGCGTTTTCAACAGGTCAGAAGAGGATGAGCCAGAAGAGCCGCCTACTTACTGTATCTGCAAAAAGTGGATGCCTATCCTAAGCTTTCCGGTCCTTATCATTCCAAGACCGCTGATGTGGATCCTACTACCGTGGCCCCTGGTGGGGTTCCTTCTACCGGAGTCCCTGCATTTACCCGGTATTTTGTTGCTGTCGACAATCATTCTGGCATGGGCGTATTACGAATGGATGCAACATGTTCATTTACAATGGAAAAACGGCGATTTCCAGCCGCTTCTAGACCGATTGTGTCAACCAAAACCTGTAGAGGCACAAGTTAACCTTCAACGAGATGGAGCAGATATCCATGCGACTCACAGTTGATTCCCAACAGCACACCTTTGGGTCTTGCTCTACGCCTGATACCTCATTCGTGTTAAAGGCCATCGTCCTTATCACGATTAGCAAAGAATTCTCTGTAACCCGGCACTACCGACAAATGCCCATGGCGTGCGAAATTTGCGCTCTCGCAGTTAGCTTCTATGCCTTATTTGATGAAATGATTGTGCTGAACTAAGAACTTCTCAGCACTCTTCTTTATATTTACGAGTATAACTGAAGTATGCGTTATTTTCTTGGCATTATTTCTGTATATATTTATTTGAATTCGAAGATGTACAGTGATTCTAAAACTATCGGGTGACAAGAAAATGTTATTGGCCCTGCCTTGCGCCATTTATGTAATTTTATATGGGAACGGAACATACTCAAACTATCAAAATTCAAACAATCGGAGTATCTAGGGTGTAATTTTAAGGTAAATGGCTCGGTACATGGTGTCAAAAATGAGATACATACAGAGTATGTACATTTCTGCAACTTGCACTACCTAACTGCTGGAAAAATTAAAGATATTTGTCGCGACGTGTCCTATCGTATTCTGTTTGCACATTTTCGGCATCATGAGACAGTCAATGCCTCGATGCCATTGCCTCCGATTTCTGCATGGTTATTTTATGGAATGATGATGCGCGGCTTAAATAAAAATAATCGTGAACTTGTGGATTTAATCATGCAGTCAGGGAGAATCAATGGAAGGACCTTCTTTTGTTATTCCCGTGCTGTTGATTTTTGAGAAATGTTTAAGGTTCTAACGACTGAATAATCAATGGAGGAATGTCTGATTGCCGATTTTAAAGTACACTGTGTACAAGCCGGTCGAATGATGAGCACGTAAAGGTACCGCTAAGTGGCGCTAATGCATATTAAGCGCGCTGTTAGCTCTTAGCACGATGGTCACTTCACTGCGTTTTGGTAAACCATTAATAATTTACATTTTTCGCTGTATTTTATCTTTATCATGCTAATCTTCCGGACCGGCTTTTACAGACTAGTACAACGGCGGTAATACGGCATGTACAGAATACGTATGTCTAATAAAAATAATAATATGTAGAACAAATAATAACTACTGACGGCTGATAATAATAGGATGAATACGTAATAACGGCTTTGCAGTTTGCCTTTGCGACCTTAAATGCACTATGTCCGCTCACCAGCCTGACCTGCATTCTTGCAGTGCCCGGAACTGTGATTGCTGAACCACTCCATCGCGATCGCTCATTCTGACTGATGTCTGATGTACATCTTGAACATCGCCTTTGAACAGATAGCAATTTATTTTTATCGGCACTGTTCCGCCCTCATCACCTCTCCTTTATTCCCTTCAGGGGAAGTTAACTTGCTGCATGTACCCCTCAGTGATCATCGCGGGGCATCGAAGTTATAAATAATTTCCAAGCCCGATCGAAGCTTCTCTGGCACTGACTCACCAAGCAGAATCTGATCAATCTGGTTAACAAGTTTCCTGTGCAATGTGCATAAGTAGCATAACGTAAGGAATGGTAGTACAGTATAAAGCGGCAGTCTATTAAATTCTCTAAGCACAGTGCAGTGCAGCTCCAATATCAACGCTATCCAACTAATTTTAAATAATCCAGAACCGTTACTAACTTCAGTTACTGCCTATCCTTTGATTTTAAAATATGAAAAACAATCGTCTAGATTTACTGTCCTCTTTCAGGAGAGATTTATCCTGGGTTTATCAGGAAATTGTCGCCGAAGCATTTGTGGTTCTGTGGTTGGTGTGCCAACTGTCCGTCACTTTTGCCACTCGGATTCTTCCTAACAATTGGCTAATAACACATTGTAGGCACACTTCGGGACATTAAGGAATAACAGCAAGAAACAGCAGGTAACAGCAGCAAACAGCAACAACAGCAATCAGATACAACATCCAAATTAAAACTGATTTCTTGAACTGCGATTTTTAAATTTACTACCTAGTACTATAGTAATATAGTACTTGCCGCAACTGTTCTCCTTTGTATGTACCTGTTCTTCGCTGTTTGTAACTGTTCTCCGCTGTTTGTAACTGTTCCCCACTGTTTGCCGCTGTGTATAACTGTTCTCCACTGTATGTAACTGTTCTTCGCTGTTTGTAACTGTTCTCCGCTGTTTGCAACTGTTCCCCACTGTATGTAACTGTTCTTCGCTGTTTGTAATTGTTCCCCACTGTTTGCCGCTGTGTATAACTGTTCTCCGCTGTATGTAACTGTTCTTCGCTGTTTGTAACTGTTCTCCGCTGTTTGTAACTGTTCCCCACCGTTTGCCGCTGTTCTTCGCTGTTTGTAACTGTTCTCCGCTGTTTGTAACTGTGTATAACTGTTCTCCACTGTATGTAACTGTTCTTCGCTGTTTGTAACTGCTCTCCGCTGTTTGTAACTGTTCCCCACTGTTTGCCGCTGTGTATAACTGTTCTCCAATGTATGTAACTGTTCTCCGCTGTTTGCAACTGTTCCCCACTGTATGTAACTGTTCTTCGCTGTTTGTAATTGTTCCCCACTGTTTGCCGCTGTGTATAACTGTTCTCCGCTGTATGTAACTGTTCTTCGCTGTTTGTAACTGTTCTCCGCTGTTTGTAACTGTTCCCCACTGTATGTAACTGTTCTTCGCTGTTTGTAACTGTTCTCCGCTGTTTGTAACTGTTCCCCACTGTATGTAACTGTTCTCCGCTGTTTGTAACTGTTCCCCACTGTATGTAACTGTTCTCCGCTGTTTGTAACTATTCCCCACTGTTTCCCGCTGTGTATAACTGTTCTTTACTGTATATAACTGTTCTCCACTGTTTGTAACTGTTCCCCACTGTTTGCTGCTGTATGTAACTGTTTCCCGCTGTGGGTAACTGTTGTCCACTGTTTGCCGCTGCAGTAAGTATTCCCCGCTGTCGAAATTCTGTCAAATGCATCTGTGGTGATATGATAGTGAGAGTAGAACCGGACCTGCAAGAAAAATTAACCGGATCTTCGCAGAAATGAAAACGGCAACTTTCCACTGTCTGACCTGCATTAAGTTTTCGAAAAGTTTGCATGATTCACTTGCCGAATTAACGCTAGCGTAAGTAAACGTTTGAAATATACGGGAGCATTAATATTACTGTGTCGTCAGGGCAACATTGCACTGTTTTTATCTGCCAATGCAAGCAAAGATTATGGGTCCATAATAAAAGAGTTGTTTACTTGTATGTGCTACTTAAAAAATGCCGAAGGTTTCGAAGAAGCAAACACCCCGTAATGTTTCTTCAAATTCCGACAAGAGTAATTCCGTTCAACCGTCAACATCTACCGGAGTAACAGAGAAGACTTTCGTTGATCGCAAAGCCGAGGTGAGATGCCAGAATACTGAATATTTTGTACCGTAAGTCAATATAAATGCCCTTTTCGTGATATTTTGATTTATTTGTATAGATTAAGACCTGTTTTTCGGAAATTCGAGATCCACAGTCGGCGCACTACCAAACATGGCTGGTGGCGAAAGCGGGGCGGCGCCAGGTTGCCAACTTTATCATGGACTATGTTTATTTTATTAAAGGATCAGCTGCAGCTTACAAGTCGTCGGCATCGACTGGGGGATGGGTAGTGGAGATCCTGACTTCATGCGTTCCCGGCCCGATGTACGTTTTTATTTAATTTAGATTATATTCGATCTAATTAAATTAATCGATTTAATTAATTATTTAATTAATTTAATTAAATTATTATTTGTTTAATTAAATTATTCGATTTAAATTATGCAGATTATATTCGATTTAATTAAATTTCTAAAGGTCATATAATATTATAATTTCTTATACTAACGTTATATTCGATATTTATATGCTACAATATCTGAACCTGTTATTTTAACAATTTCAGATCCATGTTCATTCCCTCCACTGATTTTGGATTCGTTCGCGATCTGGAGCGTTCTATCCACAAGAATACAGAGTATGCAGGACGCCTCACTTTGTCGTGCGACCAACCCACTTTGAAGCGGTTCCATAACTGGAAGCAAGAACAATTTGCCGAGTAAACAGAAAAAAATTTGTGTAATTAAAACTGCCTCATTAAACCAGAATTTTGCAGAAAATATAAGGCAGAAGATCGTACGCGAAGCCATGTCCTGCAGCTAGGAATTCAGCCAGACCAACGGACTTTGGTTATGGGCGAAAATTCCATGGGAATTTACGAAGAAGACCCGGCTCAACCAGAAGTGCTGATTTTCAGGAAAGTTACGAAAGCTGAATCGAAGTTTTTCTGGAATGCGTCATTAAATTTGGCGGATTTTTCTCCTGACCTGGCGGCAGATGGATCGGCCATGACAAGGCTGATTGAAGAAATCTTCAACGAAAGATTCCATCTTAATTTTTATGCTCTGTTGGGTAGGTTTGCTAACAAAAGCCATCCAGAAATGTGTCAATTAAATAAAATCAGTCAAATATTATTAATATTTTTTTTGGTTTGCAAGAGATTGATGTTTAAATTTCTAATATTGTTTAGGCTATGCCGTGTCCGGGTTTTTTGCGGGCTTTATTCGAGAGAATCTTGGCTGTGCACTGCCGGTTCCCATCCTTGTTGGCCCGACCATCAGTTTTAAGACACGATTAATGGAATGGATTTGCTCCGTGTTCGGCCACCACAATAATTCAGAAGTGCTGGGTGCATGGCTGCATATGAAGTTCATTGACGCCACCCAAGCAGGCATTGAGGTAAAAAACCGGATTGTAGTAAACTTTACTTTAGTAGTTTAGCAGTCAAGTAGTTAGTAGTTAGTTTATTTCAGTATAGTTAAAATATTCCTTTCGTAGGGCGTAGGAAGAAAGCATCCTTTTGCGATCATGATTCAAGACTGTGCTAATATGGAGGACCTGGAGAACCTTACGAAGCAGTACTTTGACGGCGCCCGAAGGGTAACGAAGAACGGTACATGGGAGATCGCCAACCCCCTTGCTTATGGCTGCAATTTCGGAGCGTTAAAACGACTTTTTGACGCGATCGAGTAAATATGGAACTTTTGTGCTTTATAAAGCTTTCTGTGTTCCATAGATTAATCAGGTAAATGCTTGGTATTTACGCAGTTCTATTTCTGTTGTAGGCCATCGTCTCGTGAACGGATGGTTGTATTAGAACAACTGCCGCAACCCAGAAAGCCGACAATGCAGGAGAAGAAACAGTTGGCGGCAGCTCGACTAGCATTTTCGGGCAATCTTACACTGTTCGCAAATCCCAGCCCGCAATCATTTGATGAAACAAATTGTGGAGGACGCGTTTTGGAAACTTAAAGAAGCGTTTGCTAAAGATTTGGAAAAAAAAAGGAGTTATAGAGCAGAGCACTCGGCTATCCGAAAATAACGCGCTGATTTCCGCACTTGGAGTTGCGGTAAACTGAATATACTCGTATATACTCGTATGTTCCCTGTTTGCATACTTTTGTTTGCAGGCAAAAGTTGTTCTGTCGGTTGCCTTGGACAAGAGCGCATCACAGGAGAAAATCGCGCAAATTACGGAGACTTGGATAGCGAAGTACTGTGAATACTTTCGAACGTGCCAGCTGAAACGAATTATGAACACTCAAGTGCGGTCGGCAACGGTGGGCGATGAACCGCTGGGATCCATTCAAGCAGCTCTTGTCACCTTTTTGTTAGAGTTCATGCAAACAAATCCGAAGGTACTGAATTTAAACTATTTACTAATACAAAACGGTGGATCAAGATTATTTTATCGGTACTGAAATTATTGTTTGACGTAATTTGTAATTATGGATGACATGCTTTCAGTGGCACGAATTTTTTACGTGGCCGGTTCGTACGGAGAGTCTTGGCAGCAAAGAGTGTTTTGCGATTCGGACAACGCATATTTTCCAGCATTTGGCCGATCGAAAGGAGACCAACGCTGAAATCGTCTCCCTGCTGAGGGAAACTTCAGAAGCGGCAGTAAAGGCGTGGTTGAACGAAAAGCCGGAAAAGAATTCCAAAAGAGGCGCAGTCAACATCACCGTAAACACGTTCTGTACGGGAAAGCCGGCTGCTGGAGACGCGATGCCAATAACACTGCTGGGAGAGAGCTGGCAGTTGATTATTGACGGTGAGATTTCAAAAGTAGTTTCAAAACAGTAGCGCAATAATGCTACGGCAGAACTACATTCTTTTTGCAGAAGCAACCCGGCAGAGCCATGATCCAGCACAACTGAAATGTCACATTGCCAACCGAGCAATTTACAAGCGCCTTCTTCAAGAACGGAAGTGTTCAGAAGTAGCTACCGATAATCAGGTAGTTATGGTTTGGTCGGAAACAATTATTTAAAAACTTACGGTATTATTTTGTGTCGTTCGAGTAGAAGTGTAGAATTTAATGTGAATTTCAGAGTTCTGGTGGCAATAAAGGAAATGAGCGGTCATCGTCGGTCGAGGATGCAGAGCAGAGTCGGAAGCGACCCCGGTCGCCGGATCCGACCCTCCAGGGTCCCGAGACAGATGCTGAGATGTGTCCGCTGTCAGCGGAAGCAATCATGCCGAAGAGGGGTTACCGCTTACGGTCATCCGGCGCCTGGGTTCGATATTGCAAACGAGTTCGTGCAAGAAGACGATGTTGCTGCTACAGCGGCCGCCGCGAAGAAAAGCGCCGCTGCACGAAGCCGCCAACTGCTGAAAGCGGAAGGGTTTTGCGATCGAAATCATCGAAAGTTTAATTATTAACAAGCTGTTTTTCGTCCATTGTTTACACATCCCCAAGCAAACAAATTGTTAGAAAGTTTTAACCAGCTATGATTGCTAATGAACCCTTCTTAATGTATATTTATTTTAACATACAAGCACGTCATAAGACCTTCAATGACAATAATGATTATGGGTGTTTTTCAATGTTTAAAATTTATCATCTTAACGAGTGTAAACCTGCGGAAGTATACTGATCTTGGCTGCTGCTTAATAAAAAGGCAACAATTCTGTTTATTTCAGTGAAAACAATGCAAACGAAGGGAACGAAAAAGAACGCAGGAATTAGGGAGTAAAAAGAATAAACAACATACAAAAAGAATAAAACAAAGTACAAAAATGAAAAAATAAAAAAGCAAGTAATAATGCAGTTTGTGTGCACTACGTCGCAACAATGCACACCGCACTTTCAACGACGAAAGTAGCATGGGGTGCACCCTTTCGCCTTGTAGCGAAGATGTAACAAAATTTTGCCACAATCTACATAATAATTAAGGATGCAGATGCGGTTTCTGTACGCCATTTTAGTTGAAGATCAGCGTTTGTTATAAGTGAAACATGTCCGACAAGGAAACCTTGTTTATACTAAACAATGGTTTTGATATCGTGCGGAAGGCTGCTCGAGCACTGCACATGTGGCCGGAGCTCAGTCCCAAGTTTCCCGCCATTTGGAAGGTTTGTGATGTTTCGGTATATAAATAATTACTAACGACGTTGTAGGTTTGCGTTTATCTTGCAGAAAATAACGACACATTTGAACTGCAACGAATCCACTCTACTGCGAGTTGTAAACGAGTTGAGAGCCCTTCCCGAAGTATTTGAAATGTTCGCACGGAAAACCAGCGATCATGTTATTCTTCTACCGCCCACTGACAAGTGTTTGGTCGACGATTGCTGTCAAATCCGAAACACCAGGAACGGCCAACACGGAAACCCTTCTCCTCTACGCACGCATCATGACCCTTCAGATTTAGTTAGAAAAATATAGATATTTTTTGACTACGGCTGCCACCAACGGCAAGAATGACCTTTCAAGAGCGGAACAGATAAAAGCCGTCAAAGAACAAGCCGACCAACTTGGCCAACGGATCGCAAATGAAATTGAGAAGCGAAAGGTCAAGAAAACGATGAAAACTCCGAAGCCAACTCCAGAACAGATTCTGAGAGGGGAAGTCCAAGATGAAGACGAAGCCGACAAAGCATTACTTGATCGGATAACTAAAGGACGAAAACAAATAAACCCGAAAGTCAGGCTTATAGGAGTTTATGATATTATGACCGGAACATGGGACGGCATAAAGGTCATCAGAAATAAACCCGCTAATCGAAGACATTTCCGATCACGCCGTTGAATGAAAATCGCACATGAACGATTGGCGCAAAACAAAAAAGAACGGAAGGATCAAAGAGCGAGTGAAACACCTAAAGGTCATCAGACGTTAGCGGGAAGTTTTGCCGGGGCGGAAGGTCACCCGAGCGCGAGAACAATGAAAGAGAAGAAGAATGAAATTGACTTCGTTTACAGTCGCTCATGAGAGAATGGTACTGAGCAGGCAAGAGGGAAGGACCAAGAAGAAGTTGGAAGCTAAAGGTCATCCGACTTAAGACGAAAAGTTGGAAGATAAAGGTCATCAGACTTCATCCGAAAAGTTTGCAGCCAAAGGTCACCAGACTTCAGCTGAAAAGTTGGAAGATAAAGGTCATCAGACTTCATCCGGCAAGCTGGGATCTAAAGGGCAGCAGAAATTGCAGCCGGGGGGAAGGTCACCCGAGCTCAAGCGATGAGAAGCAGAAGAAGCGCCCAGTTAAAGAACTCAGCGGAGAACTTAGCACTCAACGAAGGAAGGACTGAAAGGTCATGGCGCTGATGAAGCAGAGAAAGGTCACCGTACATTAGCAAGAAGCAAAGTGTGGGAGGAAGGTCTACCACACAAAATGAAGAATCAGAACCAGAAATGAGAAGGAGATGAGCAGACCGTAGTTCTCAAATTACTTTCGAACCACACTCTACAAGAAGAGTAGCGAATGAGCTAAGATGGGAAAGGTCATCCACATACAGTTGAGAATGGTTCAGCTAAAGAAGGATGACAAAGGTCATCATCAAAGAGCAGCGAAAAGTTTCAGCTCAGCACTGAATAGCTTTTTTATCATAGGCTTAAAGATAGACGTTGGAAAATGAAATCAATGAAAGGTCACGGGACTTACAATTGTTGAGATTGCAGGTTGAAAGGTCAGAATGGCTGAACGGAGCCAACCTCATCAGAAGGCAGAGAAGGGACAAAGACCTTCGATCAAAAAGGACACCGGCGACCCGTTGACAAATTACAACGAGGATTGTCCAGATTGCAAGCGCAACAACATTCTTTCAAGTGAACGATTCCCTTGCTGGGAATGCGTGGTGGCCGTGCAGATGCCAAATCAGCTCCTAATAATACCGCACGAAGCAAGAAGAGGCAATTTAGATGTATTTCGACACCTGGTCAGAAGAAAAACGTGGCTAAAACTATCGCCCGAAGATAGAGTGATCTTGGAGGATAAATACCGAATGTGGGTAGGACGCAGACCTGGATGGGATGTCACTCTTGAACCTCCGAGAACTGTGGAAGCGGATGCGTTCAGAAAGAAGTTTAAAAAAAACACAGCAAGAATGATGCAGAAAAAGCGCTTGGAAGAAAGAGAGAAAGCTGCGGCAGAGAAGGGTTTAGCCAATGCAGCTAAAGGTCATGCGGGACTTGCAGTACCCGTTTCGGACGCGATATTGAATAAACAAGAGGTAGAGGAGGTGATAATCCGCGAATCACTTATCCAGCAATTGGATATCATCCTCAAGGATCCACTCTCACTAACGAAAGAGGAACATACGATATTCCTGCAAGAAAAGGTCAACCTGACGAAAGGGAGCCGATGGTCGCAGGTCACCAAAATTGTGATCGAAGACAAAGTCGAGGAAATGCGCAAGTTCTGTACGCAAGAAAAAGAAATGACGGAGACCTTTAGCAGTTTCAAGAGAGACCAGTTCAAACGACCGAAATCATCCTCGAAAAAAAGGTCAGCCGACAGAAATGAAAGGTCACGCGTCTACGAAAGGTCATCCGATCATTCTAGAAAAAGGTCACGAGAATCAGAAAGGTCACGCGTAGACGAAAGGTCATCCAATCATCCACAAGAAAGGTCACGGGACTTAAAAAGTAAGGATGGTTGACGCAAGAAAACATTTGATCTGCATTCAGCGCAGAGGTGACCGAAACCGTCACAGTGCTACTAGCAGCCGGAGCGAAGGAGACGAGCTGCAAGAGAGGGAAAGGGAACCTCGAGATCGAACGTCTGATCGTAATGAAAAAGAAAGACAACGTTTCGATCGGAACCGCGACAATGGGTCAATTGATCAGTGATGATCTTTAGGGCATCGCTGATGTGCTAGTTACGGCCATCAGTCGGCAGCACAGAGAACGGTAATGAAGGTACAGTATCAGGGCGAAGGAGACGTAATTTGCTGAACTGTCGTACCGTTTGTGTTTTTGTTGTTTTCAGAATTTTGTTGCAGAGGATCAAGGCGATCTGAAATATGGGGAGTTACGGAGGTCATCCGGCCCTCGAAGAAGGAAGAGTAACGGCGCTAACCGGCCTTCCTCATTACATTTAAAACGTCACCTTTAGAGTGTGGTTGCGGCCTACTGAGTCGGCACACTCTTGCGGAATGACAGAAGCCACAAGGGTGAAAAAGAGAAAGAGTTCAAGAAAATAGGAGTAAAACTTTCAGATGTTGAGGTTACGGCGATAACCGGCCTCAGAAGAAGAGGAGTTACGGCGTTAACCGGCCCTCGAACCTGGTAAGGAAAAGAAGAAAAGTGCGCGTCAATTTGCACAAAAAGAAAAGAATGGATGTGCGACGAAAGAAAATGGTTGAAAAAGAATGATGACCTTTACAAGGGAGGCAAGCAGAACTGCTTGAAAGCCAAAATCGTCTAAGTTCCTCCATGACCTTTAATATGGAATTCATGATGGAAAATAGATGACCTTTTGGGATCGTCACGGCCCAAACGAGTCGCACATCAAAGAGAATGGGATGACCTTTGAGAACTTCACTGCTCAAGAGAGTCATCGAGAAAAAGAGAATGATCTTACCAGGGAGGAAGCATCAAGCTTGTCTTTCAAGACGTCCCTCCATGTCTACGAGGAAGAATCTCATTTTGCAGAAGTCGTACTTGATACGCGAATTATCCAAAGATGAAGCAGCAGTATTCGGAAGTCGTACTTGATACGCACCTATTCCTAAGAAGCGGATCTCTCATTGTGATGATAAAGATTGCTCAAAAGAGCGGAATGGACCAAAGCGGATTACGGTTGACAGGACCCAGTGACCTTTAGGAGTCGGAGGATCCTAGTCGTTTTGATAATGAATTCTGTTGATATTTTTTACTGTTTTTACTTTTGTTCCGAGATCTCTTTATTCACACATGTAATTGGAATTTGTGATGTTAAAGGGAGATTAAATCTCGATGTTTTATTAATCGCACAGACGAGCCGTCAAGGGTCCCAAGGAATTGGACGTGGATTCTGCTTCGACGGAGCTCAGCCTCCCTCCCAGAGGCATGTGAGCGCAGGCGTACATGCGTACACCCTCGCTTTGGCAGTCTGTTGTGTTTTGCTGCACGCCCGCCTTACGCGTGGCGGAAGCATGGTGTTCTGCGCGCACCCGCACTGTGTGGCGGCTACGTGCGCATTTTCCACGCTTGCTGCAGTCAGCAATGCGAAGTTGTCGAAGTGGAAATTCTATCGAATTTAGTCTTGCTTATAAAGTTCTTGCAATCGCGTCGTTTCTCGCTTGCCATAGCGTAGGCGCTTTATAGCATTGCTTGATCTGTTTGGCAGCCAGAATTCCGTTAATTCTGTTCTGCGCGTGAACCTTCATCAGGTCCACGCTTATACGGCTAAAGATTTGGAAGAAAAAGGAGTTATAGAGCAGAGCACTCGGCTATCCGAAAATAACGCGCTGATTTCCGCACTTGGAGTTGCGGTAAACTGAATATACTCGTATATACTCGTATGTTCCCTGTTTGCATACTTTCGTTTGCAGGCAAAAGTTGTTCTGTCGGTTGCCTTGGACAAGAGCGCATCACAGGAGAAAATTGCGCAAATTACGGAGACTTGGATAGCGAAGTACTGTGAATACTTTCGAACGTGCCAGCTGAAACGAATTATGAACACTCAAGTGCGGTCGGCAACGGTGGGCGATGAACCGCTGGGATCCATTCAAGCAGCTCTTGTCACCTTTTTTGTTAGAGTTCATGCAAACAAATCCGAAGGTACTGAATTTAAACTATTTACTAATACAAAACGGTGGATCAAGATTATTTTATCGGTACTGAAATTATTGTTTGACGTAATTTGTAATTATGGATGACATGCTTTCAGTGGCACGAATTTTTTACGTGGCCGGTTCGTACGGAGAGTCTTGGCAGCAAAGAGTGTTTTGCGATTCGGACAACGCATATTTTCCAGCATTTGGCCGATCGAAAGGAGACCAACGCTGAAATCGTCTCCCTGCTGAGGGAAACTTCAGAAGCGGCAGTAAAGGCGTGGTTGAACGAAAAGCCGGAAAAGAATTCCAAAAAGAGGCGCAGTCAACATCACCGTAAACACGTTCTGTACGGGAAAGCCGGCTGCTGGAGACGCGATGCCAATAACACTGCTGGGAGAGAGCTGGCAGTTGATTATTGACGGTGAGATTTCAAAAGTAGTTTCAAAACAGTAGCGCAATAATGCTACGGCAGAACTACATTCTTTTTGCAGAAGCAACCCGGCAGAGCCATGATCCAGCACAACTGAAATGTCACATTGCCAACCGAGCAATTTACAAGCGCCTTCTTCAAGAACGGAAGTGTTCAGAAGTAGCTACCGATAATCAGGTAGTTATGGTTTGGTCGGAAACAATTATTTAAAAACTTACGGTATTATTTTGTGTCGTTCGAGTAGAAGTGTAGAATTTAATGTGAATTTCAGAGTTCTGGTGGCAATAAAGGAAATGAGCGGTCATCGTCGGTCGAGGATGCAGAGCAGAGTCGGAAGCGACCCCGGTCGCCGGATCCGACCCTCCAGGGTCCCGAGACAGATGCTGGAGATGTGTCCGCTGTCAGCGGAAGCAATCATGCCGAAGAGGGGGTTACCGCTTACGGTCATCCGGCGCCTGGGTTCGATATTGCAAACGAGTTCGTGCAAGAAGACGATGTTGCTGCTACAGCGGCCGCCGCGAAGAAAAAGCGCCGCTGCACGAAGCCGCCAACTGCTGAAAGCGGAAGGGTTTTGCGATCGAAATCATCGAAAGTTTAATTATTAACAAGCTGTTTTTCGTCCATTGTTGAAGTTTGAGTTTACACATCCCCAAGCAAACAAATTGTTAGAAAGTTTTAACCAGCTATGATTGCTAATGAACCCTTCTTAATGTATATTTATTTTAACATACAAGCACGTCATAAGACTTTCAATGACAATAATGATTATGGGTGTTTTTCAATGTTTAAAATTTATCATCTTAACGAGTGTAAACCTGCGGAAGTATACTGATCTTGGCTGCTGCTTAATAAAAAGGCAACAATTCTGTTTATTTCAGTGAAAACAATGCAAACGAAGGGAACGAAAAAGAACGCAGGAATTAAGGAGTAAAAAGAATAAACAACATACAAAAAGAATAAAACAAAGTACAAAAATGAAAAAATAAAAAAGCAAGTAATAATGCAGTTTGTGTGCACTACGTCGCAACAATGCACACCGCACTTTCAACGACGAAAGTAGCATGGGGTGCACCCTTTCGCCTTGTAGCGAAGATGTAACAAAATTTTGCCACAATCTACATAATAATTAAGGATGCAGATGCGGTTTCTGTACGCCATTTTAGTTGAAGATCAGCGTTTGTTATAAGTGAAACATGTCCGACAAGGAAACCTTGTTTATACTAAACAATGGTTTTGATATCGTGCGGAAGGCTGCTCGAGCACTGCACATGTGGCCGGAGCTCAGTCCCAAGTTTCCCGCCATTTGGAAGGTTTGTGATGTTTCGGTATATAAATAATTACTAACGACGTTGTAGGTTTGCGTTTATCTTGCAGAAAATAACGACACATTTGAACTGCAACGAATCCACTCTACTGCGAGTTGTAAACGAGTTGAGAGCCCTTCCCGAAGTATTTGAAATGTTCGCACGGAAAACCAGCGATCCTGTTATTCTTCTACCGCCCACTGACAAGTGTTTGGTCGACGATTGCTGTCAAATCCGAAACACCAGGAACGGCCAACACGGAAACCCTTCTCCTCTACACACGCATCATGACCCTTCAGATTTAGTTAGAAAAATATAGATATTTTTTGACTACGGCTATAAAATGTGCAACTATTTTTGTAGTCTACTGTCAGCGACATCGATGGCACGCATATAAAGTGCTGGAGGTTCAACCTCCGTTGCCGCTCCTGCAAGAGCTACTACCGCTACTCAACGTTCTTTCACTCGGAGAAAGAAAAATTTTTCTTGTATGAGAAACCGAGACCTTTTGTGGAAATTTCCCGTGAATGGTGTTGCACAAGGCGGCTCTGTGCTTTGATAACAACCGACATGTGAGATATGACACACCGACGCTAAACTAACTGTGTAAATTTAATTACAGTTCACAATTGGTTTAATGTTTTATTTCAGGTACTTCAAACAGTGCAGCTTTCAGGCATTTTCGTCTTCTGTCAAAAACGCGTTCGGAATTGCTGAGGGTATGAGCTTTGCTGCTTTGGGATACATTCAGGATATATGAAATGTGTACTGTAAAGAGCTTTGTAGATTACAACCGGAAGCAATTGGCCGAAGCATTCTTTAAATACCACATTGAGCAGTATTTGCGAAGTCTTGGAAAGCTGAGTACTGGATTTACTGCTGAAAATGACTGGGACGAAGCGCTGACAGAGCTGAATAAAATTCTCAGTAAGGAATTACTGCCACATGTACACCACGCGCTTTGCATAGCAAAAGGCTGCAGGGACGTTGTAGCAATGGATGGGAACTGGAAATTCAGTCACGTCATCTGTTCCTTTCAGATCAAGGTTAGTCTTAACGCAAAATGAATGCTCCTGTAATAATTAACGCTAAAAATAATAATTTTTTCAGAAAACTCATCCCAAATTTCCGCTACTCAAATTTCCTTGCCAATGTACGGAAGAGCCGTTGCCTGGATTCTCGTATTGCAAAGCGCACTTGGCAATTGCGGAAAAAGAAGGTCTACCCGTTACTGCTAAGGCTGAGAAAACGGCGAGGCTTCCCGAAGCGGCTCTGATTGCGGCGGAAAGCGAAAGCGACACCAGTGAAATATTCAGTGCTCCTCTGACTTGCAAGAAGAACTTGGGTTTGCATAAATACCTTAAATCGCGATCACGGGGATGGCTATTTTTTGTAACTGCTGGGGGCATCATCAAAATGTTCCGACCGTTATATGTGTAAGTCTCAGGTTTTACAAAAGATATTGCACCTAATGGAACAGGTTACTGTTGCAGGTCTGAATCATCGTCGCAAGTGTTTTTCCATACTGCTGAATATCTGCTTAAAGAGTTATCCACACGAGACCCGGCAGAGTATTCGAAATTTACTTTATGCTATGATGACATGTGCCACTTAAACGCCCTTCGACAAGCAGCGAAAAAGTTGCCATATCCGGAACCTTATTCACAGATGTGGTTCCAAATTCAAAAAGTAATCGACAGATTTCATATGCGGAACCACAAGCCGGAGTGCTTTAAAAACTATAATGCTGACGAAGTGCTGGCAGCGATACATGGAGCTGAGACATCCATCAACACGGAATCTGCAGAACAAGTATTTTCTCAGCTGCGTAATCTGAAAGCTTCGCTGTTTGTCATGGGAAAGAGAAGACAAGAATTCTTTTTGCATGTTATAAGCAGAATGCATAATTGCCACGTGGAGAAGTCGATGTCAAAAGATACTTTTCCGATACATTTCAACGGGCGCAGACGTTGTAATACTATTTAGCGCTTTTCCGATGCAAAAGAATTTTGTTTGTCATGGAAAAGTTGCGCATGCTTTCTCCTCGGTTTACTAATGAGTGATTGTTGAGTTACTTTTGTTGAGTACTTTAGTTAGCAAAATGACAATGATATGGTAAACAATAAACCGATAAAAATTGCGGTGTTCCATGACGAGCAGTTACAAACAGCGGCTAACAGCGAAGGACAGTTAGAAACAGCAATTAACAGCGAAGAACAGTTAGACACAGCGTAGAACAGCGAAGAACAGTTAGAAACAGCGATTAACAGCGAAGAACAGTTAGAAACAGCGGCTAACAGCGAAGAACATTTAGAAACAGCGATTAACAGCAAAGTACAGTTACAAACAGCGGCTAACAGCGAAGAACAGTTAGAAACAGCGAAGAACAGTTACAAACAGCGGTTAACAGCGAAGAACAGTTAGAAACAGCGAAGAACAGTTAGAAACAGCGGTTAACAGCGAAGAACAGTTAGAAACAGCGGCTAACAGCGAAGAACATTTAGAAACAGCGATTAACAGCAAAGTACAGTTACACACAGCGGTTAACAGCGAAGAACAGTTAGAAATAGCGATTAACAGCGAAGAACAGTTAGAAACAGCGGTTAACAGCGAAGAACATTTAGAAACAGCGATTAACAGCAAAGTACAGTTACAAACAGCGTAGAACAGCGAAGAACAGTTAGAAATAGCGATTAACAGCGAAGAATTAGAAACAGCGGTTAACAGCGAAGAACAGTTAGACACAGCGTAGAACAGCGAAGAACAGTTAGAAACAGCGATTAACAGCGAAGAACAGTTAGAAACAGCGATTAACAGCAAAATACAGTTAGAAACAGCGGCTTACAGCAAAGAACAGTTAGAAACACTTCTAAACACCGGCGAACGGTTGCAAACAGTCGTGTACATTGGCAAACAGTAGAAATAGTTGCAAACATCGGTGAACAGTTGCAGTATCGCTGTTGTACGTATCTGTCACTAATGTCCCGAAGTGTGCCTACCCTCTAATAACACGGGCCGATCCACGAACGCCAACGGATTTCGATCGTTTTCTGAGTTATCTGGGATATGTGAGTGCTGAATAACTTACTAATATTACAATTATTAAATATAAATATCGTAATCAAATTACGAGGTATTAAAGGTAATTACTACCCGTATATTAATTTGAATTTATCAGTAACGCAAAAGAAGGTTTTCTGAACTATAATGATAATTATTATTTTTGTCAATAATAGTAATAATTATTGTTATTGTCAATAATTGATAATACCAACAACTAGAAAGTAAATTTACCCAAACAAAAACACACAAGGGAAAATTGTTTGTAAAACCTTTTTTAACCAAACGGGCATCAATGGTTAAATTTTTCAATGAGTCTAGCGCTACAGAAACGTCTGGCAGATATTCTCGAGGGTTTTGTGTTGAATTTACATAAAATTCATTCTACTGCAGAGCATTATAGAAATCGTACTCTCTAGCTGCAGCAAGTATAAGTTACTGCAGTAGAACATAAGGATATGGCTAAGGATAAAATTATTCCACGTAAAAAAGTTCTTTGAGAGATGTGGAGTTAGAGATAATGATTCGTGCAACTTGCGACAGGATGTCGACGAGTGTTTTTGGGATGATGTTGTCTATAACTGGCGCGAATCCGACGAGGACATGCGAAATCCCAGAACAATGCAAATTCGTTTCGGTTACGTCGGTACATACTTATCCCTGCTTGCAACGGCGACACTCTTCCTGGTATTGTGTTGCTACCTTTTTGCCAATCGCCATTGGCGTTTACCCCTGTATGAATCGTTTCACGTACCTCTCTGCTCAGCATACAGCCGTTTCGTTGGCTGTGCCTACAGCGATTCGCCATACGTTATCAATGCCGAAGACGAGTCTGAAGACGGCTGGGATGTGGTAAAGACCGTTGGCGCCGTGAAGATCGTCAAAATTGGAGACCCTTCTTCTCGGAATTTAAGGGACAATAAGCCGGATTTTTACACTCTTGATGATATCCCAGATGGATGGCGGGAAGTTTTATTCTACGGATCGTACTTCTTTATTTTTATGGTGTTACCCTGCCTGGGCGCATTGCTTTGGGGAGCCTTCTTGACGACACCATTGGCTTGGCTGGCCGCATTAGTCGCAAGAGCCATAGCCATGTATTACGGGGAAGAAGCAATTTTTCCATGCTGTGTGACCTTTATCACTGCTCTCTCCATCTACTGCTGCGGACGGATGTTAGGATTGTGGATGAGGGAAAGCTATTCGTGGTCATGTTGGAAGAAAATCAGGTTCA